GTGCTGTATGGACCACACAGTCTCCATCCATCTGTTCTATCCATGGGTGCTGTATAGTCCTCATGGCTCCCATCCATCCACTCCATGCATCTCGATGCTGTATAGACCACAAGGACTCCATCCATCAGTGCTGTAAGGACCACATGGTCTCCATCCATCCATCCATCGATGTTGTATGGACCACATGGCTTCCATCTATCTGTTCAATCTATCAATATTATATGGACCACATAGTCTCCATCCATCCCATCCATCCATCATCCATCCATCCATCCATCCATCCATCCATCCACTATCCATCCATCATCTATCCATTCCATCCATCCATCATCTATCCATTCCATCCATCCATCATCTATCCATTCCATCCATCCATCCCATCCATCCATCCATCCATCCATCTATCCCATCCATCCATCATCCATCCATCCATCCATCACCCATCCATCCATTCCATCCATCTCAATGCTGTATGGACCACATGGCCTCCATCCATCTGTTCCACCAACGGTGCTGCATGGACCACATGGTATCCACCCATCCATCCATCCATCCATTCCATCTATCACTATTGTATGGACCACATGGTCTCCATCAATCCGCCCCATCCATCTTGATCTTGTATGGACCACATGGTCTCCAACCATCTCCAGCTGTTCTATCCGTGGGTGCTGTATGGACCACACAGTCTCCATATATCTGTTCCATCCATCGGTGCTGTATGGTCCACATGCATTCCATTCACTGATATGTACCTGTGCATAAGTGAGTGTTGTACATATGTGTATGTACGTATGTGGGCATGCTGGCCATACACAAATGTGTGAGCCCCAGACATGTGTGTGCATACACACATGTTAACATGCTGTTCATGTGTGTGCATGCATGAGGTGCTGTGTACCTGTGTGTGCATGGGTGTGTGCGCGCGTGCACACACACGTGTTAACATGCTGTTCATGTGTGTGCATGCATGAGGTGCTGTGTACCTGTGTGTGCGCGTGCATACACACGTGTTAACATGCTGTTCATGCTCACATGTGTGAGCACCAGATGTGTGTGCATTCACATGGTGCTGTGTACCTGTGTGGGTGAATGCGTGTGTGCATGCACCTACGAGTGAGTGTGTACACTTGCACACATGTGCATGTGCACGTGCTTGAGCCTGTCCCTGCATGTGAGCTGTGTGTGACAATCATGCTGTGCTCAGTTAGAGGAGCCCCTGCCCAGTCAGAGACCAAGAACGGTGCTGCAGCTCCATCCACGGCCCTCCCCGCTGACACGAGTCCCTGCCTGGTGCTCAGACAGGGACAGAAGCTCCCGGCAAGCCCCTCCCGCAGCTGCGCACTGGCCGCCTGCACGCTCCAGTGGAGGGTCAGCCTCCAGCTGCGCAGGACATGCTCTAGCCCTCCCGGGGCCTGGGGACATGGCCATTCATCTGCTGGCTGCACCGGAGCCTACAGCGCCTCGTCCCAATCTGTAAGTCCCGAGTCCATTGAGAAAATGCAGAGGCAGCGCCCTGCTCTCTCACGTGTCCTGCTCCCTCCAGCCCTGCACTCGCCCCACGTGTCAGGTCCTGGCCACCCCCCTGGACAGCCAGCGGGGGCTCACCAGAGCCAGCTCTATCACAGAGCCTGGCCACTGGGTCCCCACAGCCTCCTCACTAGGTGTCACCATTCCTGCTTCACAGACGGGGAGACTGAGGCCAGCTCCAGGCTGCCGTGAGCCCCAGCTCTGCCCGCAGCCTCCCTCATCAGGACCAGAACCAGAACCTGGGTGGGACAGCTGTGGATCAGCTGTGATCTGTGGTCGCTGGCATGGGCCAGGCAACACTGGACCCCGCAGGGAGCCAGCGGCTGAGTTTAGGAAGCTGACCGAGTGCCAGGGTTTCTCAGGAGATGCCTCTGCGGGAACTGGACTGTGGTTACACTGGCTCCACCAGGCTGGCCCTTGTCTCTCTTGGGATTTGTCAAAAGACTGCCCTGGTTCCCTGGCCTCAGTCTCCAGGCGAGCTCTGCAGTGAAATCTGTCCTGTGGAAGACCTTCCATCCCGCGAGCCAGCCCTCAGGTCAGATCAGGGGCCCCAAGTGTCTGTGGACCCCCACCCGCTCCGGCGCGGCCAGCTGCCTGCTGTTCACTAACTGCTCATGGCGTTGAGCCGGACCGACTTGGAGCTGCCCCCGCAGCAGGTTTAGAGGCTGTAAATCACACAAAGGGGCCTGCTCATCTCACAACGAACCCCAGACAGACACCCCTTCGGGTTAGCAGCTCATCTCTGCACAGGCTGCCCCCCAGGACCCCACAGAGATCAACAGAACGACAAAGAGACCTTCGCGAGGAGTGGCCAAGGCACCTCTGAAATGATAAGGCCGTCTAAAGGGAGGAGCCCAGGGCAAGGCGCCGCGGCCTTGGTGACCCCCGCACAACACAATGACCCACCGACGTGTCAGCAGCCTCGGCGTCAGCCAGCCCGAGCGTCCGTCACCTTTTCTCTGACCCTTTAACTACTAACCTTAGCATCCTCCTCCAGGGACCGGCCCTCCGAATAACGTGCCCAAGTATGAGCCCAGGTCCCTCCATGCCCGCTTCCAAGAAGCGCTCTGGCTGTGTTTCTCCTGACACAGGCTCCATCACTCTCTGGCCACTGTTGTTACGCAGAACCGACCTATCGCTGACCCCCCGCAGGCTGTCCTTCGGGGAGGGACAGCTCCTCTCTCCCTCGTGCTGCAGCTGGTGGACCTGAACTGCGTGCCCCTGAGCTGGCAGTGTGGCTCTTTACCCACAAGGCCACCAGAGCTCTTTTCTTCGGGCTGTCCAGGGTCCACTCAATGGTCTTCAATGATGCCATTGTCCAAAGGCACTGCTTCTTCTACACTCTTCCCTATTCACTGGCCATCTGCCCTGTGCAGGCGAGGGGCCTGCCACTCCCAGGGTCTGAGCCAGGCCCACCTTAGTCCTCAAAGCCGCATCTTTGTTCTTTGATAAAACTTTCCCCATCAGATGTGCCCGCAGCGCCTCTCTGGCCTTCCCAACCGCCTGCTGTAGACCCATCAGGAGGCTGAAATGGTCCCAAGAACGGCAGGGAGGAGGCACGGCCCATCCTGTGTCCACCTTCACGGCACGGTTCTCCCTTTTCTTTACCAAGCAAGTGTTATGTTCATCACGGAAAAAGTGGCAACTGGACCCAACTTGTTGTTCCTAAAGTACCACGTGAGCATCCTGTACGCTGTGGTTCGCCCCTCCCGGGGGCCCTGGGGAGGCAACAGGTGAGTGGGGGCCCTGCATCTAGTAGTAATTCCGTTCTTCCCTCGGACTCTCTGACGGCTGTTCCCACCAGCCCCTCGCAGGCCGTGAGCAGCGGGGGCCCCTCCACAGCCCATCGGTGCTGTCCTGCTGCTGTGGACCGGCCGGCTATGGGTTCATCGGTCACAAGATGGGGCCAAGCCTGACCTGCGGTCTCCCTGGACCTCCAGGCCTGGCCCTTTGCTGGGGATACAGATTCCTCCGGAAGCACACTGGATCTGCCAGTGCACATCCCAGAAGCCCTAGGCAGACCCCAGAGATCCTGCCCAAACCCCAGAAGAGAGGGCCAACCCAGAGAGCTCAGCCCACACCCAGGGTACCTCAGGGAGACCAGAGGGCTCACCCAACCCCCAGAATAGAGGGCCAACCCAGGATCCTAGGGAGACCCCAGAGTGACCCCCAACCCTTGGAGCACAGGGCTGACCTCTGAAGGCTAACCCTGGTCCTGGGAGACGCACACTAACTCCAAGGATGGGCCCTGGGCCTGGGAGCTCCAGGAAGGGGCTGCGGCCCACCCCGACCACTGACACACACGGGGCAGGAATCCGGCGATCACAGCTTTTTAATTGACAAAGGCACTGGCCACTCAGAGGCACACACCACTCCATTCAGACGTAGTGAACCATGGTGGTCGCCAAGGGGGCTGTGGTTGTGGGAAGGGTGGCCCCCTCCTCCCTCTGCTCCCTGCCTGAGTTCACACTGCCACACTCCGGCCTGCAGCCCCCACAGGGCCAGCCGGGCACCGAAGCCACCGTCCCCTCCTTTGACACCATGTCTGGCATGTCCCCATTGGGTCCCCTGCACTGAGCCCCAGGCCTGTGGCCCATGGACTGGGGAGCAGGAGTGTGGGAGGGGCGGCCGTGGTGGCTTCCGTTCACATCCCACCCAGGCGTGTGGCTGAGGACAGTGCCCCTCTGCCCCCCACAGCAGACGCCCCTCGGGGCTCACACACCCCAATCCTGTCCCACTCTCAGCTCTACTCATCGTGCTGACCGCACCTCCATCGTGCCGGAAGTCATGGCAACGCTGCATCAAGTCGACCAGCACATCACCCTCCAGCAGCCGTGCTCACGCCCCGTCACATGTGGCCCTTCTCGGGCACCGTGAGCCCTTCCACCACGCCGCTGTGGCACCATCCACCACCCGTCACTGCCGGCAATCCGGCTCACGGGGACCCTGCCCAGCTTTCCCAGGACATAAACAATCATGAGAGGAGACCACCAAGCGGTTGATGGACTTGAACTGCTGACCATCAATCAGCATAACACATCACCGAGCTCCTTTAACAGACTCAAAAAGCCCCACTGCTGCCGAGTGGGGACCCACCGCCAGCTGACCCTCCAGGGGGTGGAAACCCCGCAGGGGGAGACTGCCCCGCTCTGTCCTCTGTGCCACGGCGCAGAGCATGGCTTTGGACCACTAGATCAGAGCCACCTCTGGGACAGCGGCACAGCACCCTGCGGCCACACCAGCAGGGCGCCCTGGACGCTGGACCTGGAGCAGGTGCCGGGTCGTGGGCCCAGAACCGAGGACAGCAAGGTAGTCCGGCCGGACCAAGACCCACTCGGAGGTCTCTCTGAACAGAGCAGCTGAGGAAGGGGACACGGTGGGGCAGGAGGCCCCGCTGCCACCCTGAGCACCAACCCCCCAGCTCCCGAGGAGCTGAGCCGCCCCAGCCACGTGCCCGGCCGGCTGCCTACCTGGACGCGGCGATCTCGGCCTTCTGCTTGGCGATGGTGGCGGCGCGCTCGGCGGCCTCCACGGCACGGTCCACCTTCTCGCGGATCTTGCTGGCCCGCAGCGGGATGAGGTTCTTGCGCTTGCCGCTGACCAGGACGTTCTGCTTGTACTTGCCCTCCTCCTTGCTGCCGTCGGGGAAGGTCATGCAGCCGTAGCCGTGGCGTTTGTTGCTGGCCCACTCGCCCTCGTACCTGAGCCCGTCCGAGCGCTGGCTGACGCCGAAGCCCGCCCGCCGGTCGCTCTTCCACTCGCCCACGTACGACTCGGTGGTGGTGGCGTCGATGTCGTCGTCCGCGGCCAGCTCGGCCTCGCCCTCACCCAGGCTGATGGTGGAGTGGATGTCGCTGGCCGTGGAGCTCACGGTGCTCATGCCCGCCTCGCTGCGGAAGGAGCTCTGCTTGCTGCGCTGGCTGGCCAGGCTGCTCTTGGACTCGGACTTGCGCAGCTTCAGGCCGCTGAGCAGGGACCTCCGGAACAGCCCCTTCTTCTTGCTCCTGAGGGTCTCGGAGTCGCTGTGCGCCACCAGCACGAAGCCGCCGCGGGACATGGCCGGGCTGCCGGCCACGGCGGGGGGTGCGTCGGGGAGCAGCGCGCTGCCGTTGGTGTGCTCGCTGCGCAGGGAGTTGATGGACGTCCTCAGGGGCGAGCGGATGACCGCCGCCATGCCGTAGGGGACGCTCTGCCGCACGCCGTAGCCCTGGCGCATGCCGCCGACCCACTGGCCCTGGTACGTACCTGCGGAGACAAGGGACAGGGTGAGCGGGGGAACGGCGGTCAGCCCTGGCGTGGGGCCGCTGAGGGCCACCAATCTGCCCACTGCCCTCAAAGCCAAATCCAGCCTCCAGCGGCCTTCAGTCCAGAAGGACACAACCTATTTCCCCATAGAGTGACCACGGGCAGAGATGGCCACCCTTTCACTGGGACAGCATCCCTGGGACATCCTAGTGCCCCATCATGGTCCCTTCGTGTCCCATTGGCCATGACTGTACATCCCCCAGCCCCCACCCTGGGAGAACCTGTGTCACCTGCCTCCAGATGACCATTCCCCTCCCCTCAGAGGACACTCAATGGGCCACGTCCCCCAGCTTTGATGGGAAAATCATTCTGTCATGAATTTAATTGTGTCCCCTTAAAATAAATGTCAACTTGGCTGGGTGATTCTGGGCTGGTTTCTGACCAATGAGGTGTAACTTAGTGATGGCCATGAGGCTGCGTTAGAGAGGGGTGCTGTCCTAATTAGGCAGGAGTACTCTACAAGAACGGAGCAATCCACACGACCGCGTGTGACCCACGGGACCGCGTGTGACCCACGGGACCGCGTGTGACCCACAGGGCCGTGTGTGACCCATGGCACCACGTGTGACCCACGGGACAGGTGTGACCCACGGGACAGGTGTGACCCACGGGACAGGTGTGACCTACGGGACAGGTGTAACCCACGGGACTGCGTGTGACTCACGGGACCAGGTGTGGCCCACAGGACAGGTGTGACCTATGGGACAGGTGTGGCCCACAGGACCGCATGTGACCCACAGGACAGGTGTGGCCCACGGGACAGGTGTGACCTATGGGACAGGTGTGACCCACAGGACCGCGTGTGATCCACGGCCTGAACAGTTACTTCTAGAAAGATCAAACTGGAGAAACAACCTCATGGTGTCCTGTCAGAGCCAGCTCATGGCCAGCCCACTGTCGGGTTTCTGAGGGTAAACCACAGAAAGTCGCTGCTGGTGGATCAGAACCACGGGAGAAGGACAGCTTAGGTGAGCAGCACAGCCTGTGGCAGGCTAAACCAGCAGAGCTCTACTGGGCCCTGCAGGGCCGCTGCGCTGATGGATGGGGTCTATACACGGGGCCGCCAGGAGGGGGAGGGATCTGGAGCCTGCGCTGATGGATGGGGTCTATACATGGGGCCGCCAGGAGGGTCCTCGAGCCTGCGCTGATGGGGTGGGGTCTACAGTAAGCCTGGACACGCCCTGGTGGGCTGGTGCAAACATGCTGTGTCTGCTCCTGTCAAGATGACCAGGAGTCCCTCAACAGCTCTACTGTGCCCCTCGGGTCACTGTGGTCAGAACCCACACGAGGACAGTGTCTGTGGTCCATTTCTCATGCCCAGCCCTCAGCCAAGGTTCCAGCCAGGGGCCTTTGAAGCGCGGAGGATGGCCTGACCCTCTCTCAGCTCGCCTAGCAGAGGCAGCAAGTCTGGAGCCCCTGCGTCACAGACAGACCGCATTGGCCTCATGCTGCGATTTTATCTAAACCCAGGATTTATGGTCAGGATTTTAAAATCAAGAGATTTCCCCCTCCAGTCTGAGTCTCTTCTGTCTCCTGATCACAGGGTCTGGCAACCTTGATTCACACACAGCAATCGTGGGCTGGTTCTACCAGCAGCTGCCTTCGCGTCTGAGAATACACACTCGAGTTTGCCTCACTCTTCACCACTCCCTACTGTCTCCCCCTCGGTTAGCGCCCTCGTTCCCGTGCCCTGCACTGGAGGGTAAATGCAGAAGGTGGAGGCTGAAGTATGGCCTCAACATCGGCCTCCACACCCAACCCCCAGGTCAGAGTCCTTGCTGCTGCCCAGATGTCGCCCCTCACAGTCTCTGCCTCCGTGGACCAGATCCCGCTCAATCTACCTCGGCTTGCATCCCCTCCTCAGAGTGCTCCAGCTACAGGGCTCCCACGGCCGCACGCCCACACCCCACACACTGCAGGCTGACTCCAGATCCGAGGAAAAGCAGAATACCTACGCACTACCATTGAACTCTCCCTGAGTGCTGTGTGACCCCATAAAGCCGACCTTCTTAAAATAGTGATCTAAGAATTTGCACAGCAGAACATAGGCGGAGTCAACCATGAGCCCGTGGGCATCGTCCCCCTCCTCCGCAGCGTCCCGCCCTCATTCACGTTAACTCCCTGCCTTCGAGGCCTCCTGGCCACACTTTGAGAGCACTGCTGTCATTTAACCCTATTTTGCCACTGAGAACTGCAGAGCACAGTTCTACCCCGACACACGGGCTCACCAGGAGATGGACAGTGCTCATGGAGACACACGGGCACATGGACGTGTACACATGATGAGTACTCGTTGTGTGCTGTCCATTCTGACTCACCGCTCCTCTACAGGACAGCACATGTGCCCACTGCCAAAGTCACTCAATGCCAAAGTCAATGCCCACTGGTTCTGATCCTCCACTAGACTTCCGAGATTGTAAATGTGAACAGGAAGCATCTGCTGGTCTATCTCTCGTGGGGCAGCTGGTGGCCACAGGACAGCATGTTTTCGACTCTGCTGTCGTTGCTGGGTGCCATCCCGTCAACCAGGACTCACTGTGACCTGTGAACAGCAGATCTGAACTGTGCTCTAGCCTGCGCCATCCTCCCGTATCCGACATGCTCAAACCCACTGTTCCAGCCACTGTCCACCCAAGACAACACCACTAGATCTCAGTAAGTGTTCCTTAAATAACCAAATGAGCCAAGGCAATGAGAGACACATGCCAAACTCACTGCTGTTTAGTGCTTCCAACCCACCGCAACTTGTAGGGCAGAGCAGAAACGCCCCACAGTCTCCAGGGCTGTAAATCTCTACGGGCAACTCGCCTCCCCTTTCTCCCACAGAGCAGCTGGTGGATTCGAACCACTAACCTTCTTGTTAGCAGTCCAACAGTTAACCTACTATGCCATCGCGGCTCCTGAGGTGAGGATAAAGAGGCATAAAGATATAATAAGTGGGCAGATGAAAGTTTGGGCTTCTCCCATAATCCACAAGATAAACAGTCTTCCAAGCATCCTGAAAAATCTATAGGAGAGGATAAAACAGATGAATGGGACCTTCTAAGAATAAACTCCCTATGCACATTCAAAAACTTCTCCAACAGGGTAAAAACAGAAGCCACATACTGGGAAAAAAATATCCGGTAATGACATGTCAGATAAGGGACTTACATCTAGAATTTAAAAAATACTAGAGCACCACAGCAAGCTAAAGGTAAACAACCCAAAAAATGGGCACAGAAAATGAACAGACACTTCACCAAAGAAGACATTCAGATGGCAAACAAACACATGAAGAAATGTCCAAAATCCCTAGCTCTAAGAGAGATACAAATCAAAACAACTAAGAGATATAATCTCAGCCCAGTCAGCATAGCAATTTTTTTTTCAGAATAGCAAAATTTAACATCAAATGCTGGTGAAGCTGTGGAAAAACTGGAACCCTTATTCACTGTTGGTGGGAGTGTAAAATGGTGCAACCACAATGGAAGGCAGTATGGAGCTTTCTCAAAAAGTTGCAAATACCTGTTGTAGAATGGGACTGTCCTTGGGGTTGGGGAGAGACTGAGTAAGATGGGTTCAATAATGTATACTGCACTGAAACAGAGGAGGGAGAAAACTGTTTAAAAGAGATATATAACTAGGTATTTCTGTCATCACAGGAGACTAGAGCGAGGGCTACATGGTGGAAGGGACCTGGGGGAGGGTTTGTAAAACAATGAAAGAATCTTTTCTTTTACTTTTCCATAATTTTTGACTCATGTACTTATAACTTGTTAGTCAAATTTGTGTCTTCTAGGTTGCAACACCCCCATGATACATCTTCAAGGATATGAACATGTACGGCCAAGCACAATCAATAAGAGTGCATCTAAATTCCAAAATCAATCTCCATAATAGTCTATGTGTTTCCTACTGCCAAAGGGGCCCTTTAGAATAGTGAGAGAAGATCTTCACCCTGAAACCCACAGCGTTCCTTTTCAGCAGGAAGTAGCTAAGAGAATACGCCATCCCCTTTTCCTTATGACTCAGGGTGAAGTCTCTCTCAGGGAGGAGTGATAGGGAATGGCAAAGGACACACTGACAAAGAAGATTAATCAGAACTGGCTTTGACAAGCACTGTGGCATTTGGACAAGAACAAACTGGGAGGAGGGTAGAGAGAATAGTGCAACAATGAATGAATGGAAACCCAAAATCTCTGTAAATGTTTATGAAAATTAATAAAATATAGGAAAAAAAAGTTGCAAATACAAATACCATTTGACCCAGCAATTCCACTACTGGGAATATACACTAAAGAGACCATAACTGCCACCCAAGCAGATATATGCACACCCATGCTTATCGCGGCTTTGTTCACAATAGCAAAGAGTTGGAAACACCTCAAGTGCCCATCAACAAATGAATGGAAAGAGAAGCTGTGGTATATTCACACAATGGAATACTACGCTTCATTGAAAAACAAGGAACTCATGAATTATTTTACTAAATAAGTGACTCTGGAGGACATTATGCTGAGTGAAATATCTCAGTCACAAAAAGACAAATACAGCGTAACGCCACTGTTATAAAACAGGACTGACATGGGGACTGGGGGAAACTAAGAAAAGAGGGGATAAGTAATCTACACGACATTGAAACAAACAAGGGAGAAAACTGTATAAAAGGAACATATGATTAGGTATTATTGGCACGACAAGCGTCCAGAATAAGAGAAAGAGATGCACAGTAAAGTGGTCTGGGGTGGGGGTCTGTCTGTGTAACAGTGAAAGAACTTTTTTCCCCAAGAAAAAAGCGATCTGGGGGGACGAGGGGATAGGGAGGAAAATATGCAATGAATGATTGGAAACCCAAATTCTTTATAAACTTTCATTAAAATCTCAATAAAATTTAAAAAAAGAAAGAAAGAAGCGGACTTCTCTTCTGAGTGTCCTGCCAGCACCTCCCACAGACACCT